ACACACACACACACACACACACACACACACACACACACACACACACACACACACACAACCCTGCAAATTGTCATAGGGGGGAATGCTGCAACGGTCATAAAGTGTGAAAAGCGGTAACAAGTCACTTTTCAGCACTGTTGTAACTTTGAACGGTCACTAAATGAACCGTTGCTGTGTTTGCCCTTACACCCTCGCCAGGGGTCGGTTTTAAGACGTGTGGGGACTGCGTGATGACAAACATTTCCCTCTCCTCTCCTTGCTTGTATCCGTCTCCGAGTCAGGATCACACACAGCCCCCCCCTCCCCCTCCAGACTTCTAACTTTCTGTCGCTAAGCGAGTTTTGCCCCTTATGGTCAAAAAATGCTCTTCTATGTGAAATAAACTGCCTGTTAAGATACAATAGAATGTAGAGTTGTTTTTTCCCCTCCTTTGATTTAATTTCATTCAAAGATCTTGCTGAGAAAGATCACACTTCTGCTCCAGATAAGAACAATTGTGTACAGGAAATAAAACTTCTGCAATGCAGGTAATCCTCAATTTACAACCACAACGGAGCCCCACATTTCTGTTGCTATGTGAAACGTGTGTTAAGTGAGTTTCGCCCCGTCTTATGTACCTTCCTTGCCTTAAGCATTGTTAAACGAATTGTTGCGATTGTTAAATTAATATTTAGTTGTTAGACACTGGCTTCTCCATTGATTTTGCTTGTCACCCCAGCACCCTGCAACCATCCTAAGTACACGCCAGTTGCCAAGGATCTGAATTTTGATGACGTGGCCATGATTGTTAAGTGTGAAACACGGTCGTAAGTCACATTTTCCCAGTGCCGTTGTAACTTTGGACATTTGTTAAACAAGTGGCTTTTCAGCTGAGGACTGCCTGTATATGCGTGGTTGGGAAGGTCTGCTCTGTGCTTTTTCATCACAGCCACTAGTTGGAGTCCATAAATCGCTACTCCTGGGTTTTATTTCTTGATTTAGTTTATTTACGTTGTCAAACATGTACGCGATAACAGTTATAAGTATAAACATGGACATGAACACAGGAAATGGGTACAAATCAACGGGGACTCCTCCGGTAACATTGGTAGGCACCCTGGTGCGCTTATGCACGCCCCTTACAGACCTNAGCTGGGACAAGTAACGGGAGCTCACTCCGTTACGCGGCGCTAGGGATTTGAACTGCTGAACTGGCAACTTTTCTGATTGACAAACTCAGTGTCTTAGCCACTGACCCACCGCGTCCCGTGTTACATTTTTAGGGGAATGCAAAAAAAAAAGAGAGAGAGAGAGGTTCTTGTAAGTGAGGGTTCCTGTGGCATAAACAACAATAAATCTCACAATTTGAAAAAAAGATTGAAAGTTTTGGCATGCATTGTTTTCAATCAAAGACACTGATGGATGGAGGAAGGAAGATTTATTTGTGTGTTTACAGGCACACATGTCAAGGTATATAAATATGTCTGAGAGCCTGGAACATACTCCATAAGGCCACTGAAACGGATATAAACCAAAACTTGATTCTGGCTTTTCGTAAATGGCTTAATTTGATGTTTGTCTTTTTTTAAAAAAAATGTAACTTGTAAGGTGCTTCAAGTGGTTTTGGAATTGGGCAGCGGCAATAATAATGCCAAGCCCAATTCCTTGAACCCATCAAGTCTAAGATTCTTGTAAATGAAATACTAAATCAAGATTCTTATAGGGAATCTAATCATGCCCGTTGGAGTCACTGTTCCCACCCACTTCCCCCAAAACAGTTCCTGGATTTCAAAAACAGGATTAACTTGGCATGAAAACTATTTTAAGAGCCCAGCTACGAATTTAAGAACGGGGGCTCGTGACAAATGAATGGAAAGGCATGGCTTGAATTAAAGTCATTTCAAGGCCTTGATGGCATGTGCAACATTTAATTAGGAGACCAAAAATGAAGGAGTTTTGGCAAGATTTGTCTTTACTGTCTATCTCACCACCACAATATCAAAGCACATTCCTTCTAAGACACTTGCAACCACATTCAAAACAAGGGTGTAGAGGCTAACATTTTCATGGAAAAAAAACAAAACAAACCCCAAAGCATGTGAAAACAGCAATGGTTGTTTTCGTGGGATCGGAGTCTTTCAGCTCTCCCCCACCTCAGACCCATCTGAAAAATCCCGTAACTCAGTAAGCAGGCGTGACTGGAAAGAAACATAATATATATATACAAGGCAACATTTCTGACTGTGGACTCCATCCGAATCCAAAAATGGGAGCGGACTCTACAAATGATGAAGAGGACGATCCAAACTTTTAAGCCGTAAAAAAGTGATGCTGTTTTTGACAGAAGACACCACCTCCAAAAAACAAAAATGGGATTTAAATTCTCCAACCCGACATACACAAAAAAGGATAATTTTAATTGGATAATGGCTAGCATATTTTTTTTAAACTTCCCCTGAGAATGCTTCCCTGATTCTAGGATATTTGTCTTTCTTAGGCTACATATCTATATCCAGATATATAGATATAGAAGGATAGGTTGCACGTTTTCACATCCTTTAAATGTTTTTGTTATTGTTGAACACAGCTGTAAAAGACGGCTAAAGGAACAGAGCTTGACAAGAAATGAAGAGGAAAAAAAAGAAGAGGGGAGGTTGTTAAAAACTTGCCAAGCAAAGTTTGATTGGTTTCATACCAACAAATAATACTCAGAAGGGCATTACAGAGAGCGTGAGGATAGTGCAGAAGAGAAATCAGTTTTGGGAGGTTGTGTGTGTGGCTAGAATCTAGTAAATGCATGTGAAATTCTACCATAGAGTTTGTTTTCAATCCATGTGGAAGGAAGTGTTCGAGGGAGGGGAACATTATTACAATCCACAAGGGGCATCTCTTCTTCCGAGAGTCCATCATCGTAAAGCAGAGAGTCCGAAGGAGTGGAAGCGGCCAGATCTAAATAGTCCTAAGCCAATAAAAGAGAAAGAGGGTTAAGGATAGAGGCCTTTGGGTCTCTGTTCAAGTCAAGTCGATCATCCCGAAGGACCCAAAATGTCAAAACTCAAACAACCAGATCCACACGGGTAGAGTTCAAGCTAACTACTTCATTGCATTCGGCCTATAATACAGGAATCTCCTGAAAACTGATTGCCTTCCCTTGGGAATGGATAAATAAAAGTTCCATGAAGGTACTAGCTCTCTTGCAGCTGCACAACGATTCAAGACTAATTCCCTGCTTGAGCCCTCTTCCCTGTCTGGCTGGGCATTTTTCCATAAAAACTCAGTTTGGAGAAATTTAGAATATTTTTATCATCTGGAAAACGAGCAGCCCTGGAGATATTTTTCCTTGGAATCAGCCCAATTCATGTTTCCTTAGATATCTGCTCAAGTTCTCCATTTCTCCTCAACTTAAGTAGAGTTCCTTGGCAACACGTTAACATCATGGGTCTGGCAAGGAACCCCTTTAGAAATCCACAGCCTTCTCATCCAGCATTATGTATCTCTTTCAGGAGACTGGCTCATTAATTTGCTACAGAAGCCTTTCTGAATAATCCTTTGTCTGAAATTATGGAGATTTTTTTTTTCAGAAGGACTGAATTCATGCACATCTGGTACTGTTGAATATGGAGAGAAAAAAAAACACTTCTTCCCAAGCAAATCATGTGCTTTGCATTCATTTGAACCTTCACTAAACAGCTCTGGTGCAAATTCAACGGCTATCGTGTGATCCCATTACAGCTCAACATCATGTGGATTTAATCTTATTGCAAGATACAGTCTTCTAATAAAATTGCACCGTATTTAAAAAACAGCAAAGCAAGGCTTTGTGTACTTACACAATCTATGGAAAGGAGAAAACCATTTGCAAGTTTTGGGGGATCCCAAGATCAGCAGAATTGCACCAACCCTTGTAGATATGTCCTACAATTTCTCAAATTTTCTTCCCCAGGGAGACAAGTTCATTTAAATTTTATTCCAAAGGTTCCTGAGAACGTTTTTTTTTTACATTTATGTTGATTCTGTTTGGGAATTTATTTTCTTGTAGTAGGTAGTGATGGCTTTATTACCTTTTAGGACAGTGGTCACCAACTGGTGGTCCGTGGACTACTAGTGGTTCACAAGAAAATTTTTGTGGTCCGCAGAAAATTATTTGCATTTTTTTATTGTGCTAAATTAGGGGTCTTTAAATTATGGTCCCTGGGACGGATCCGTGCAATGAACGCTTGTGTTGCTGCATTGTCTCCCCCTTTGGGGTCTTTTTGTGCGGGTCGAGGTGGGGGCAGAAATTCCAACTTGGAGTCTGTTTCAGCTTCCTGGTGCAGGGCCTTGGACGAAAGCTGGAGGGAAGCACCGCTAGTGGCAAAGAGCTGGAGGGCATTGTTCCAGTTGAACTGCATCATGGCCTGGAACTGGCTGACCATCTCAGCCTGCTGAGACTCCAGGCACCAGTACCTGGCCTTGCACCCCCACAGGTCTTCCCTCTGCTTGGGAAGCCTATGCTCGTAGTCCTCAATGAGATGCTTCTGCTGAGCCTCCTTCTCGGGCAGATCCAATTTGAACTGAGCCAGCTGTTTTGCCAACTCTTTCTCATGGTGGCTGCTTAGCTCCAACAACTGCTTCCTGTTGGGGCCCTAAGGAGCCCAGGCGGGCAGGCGAGGAGTGACTGGGAGGGGAGGGGCAAGTAGAGGCTGATGAGGCGCCCCTCAATGTGAGTGATATCAAGTTGGCCACGCCCACCCAGTCACATGACTACCTAGCCACACCCATCCAGACGATCATTAGGCAGATCATATTAGTGGTCCATGGGATTTAAAAATATGAATTTAGTGATCCCTGAGGTCTGAAAGGTTGATGATCCTGGTCATAGCAGATGCAGATGGGTGATACTGACATTTTTCTTTTATGATATCCTCTTTCCTTTATTTTTAACCTCCCCAATTCCCCACTTCCTGATCTGAGAAAGCCTGGTGTTCAAAGTGATATGTTGAAACAGAGCATTCACCCCTTGTACACTTCGTAACAACGTTCACACCCCATCTACAGATAGTCCTCGATTTAGGACCACAATTGAGCCATTTTGTTCCTAAGCGAGACGGTTGTTCCGTGAGTTTTGCCCCATGGCGTGTGATATTGTTGTTGCCAGAGTGGGGGGTGGCGGGGGTTATTACATTATTTTATTAATTTATTATGTGTCAAACTTGATTTCATTGAGGGCTGCATCAGGGTTGTGCCTGATGTCAGGAGGACTGGCGTAGGTGGGGCCAGCTCAACATCATTCGTGTCAGGGGCGCCTTTGGTGGCCCAAGCACTCTGCAAGCGAAAACGGGTTCCCAAGCTCCGTTTCCAGCTGCGATGACCTCCTGCAGGGAAAACGGAGTTCGGGAAGGCTGCATACAAGTCTCCCAACCTCTGTTTTTGCTGGCAGGGGCATTGTGGGTTGCTCTTTCACTTTTCCAAGGGAGCCCCATGGGGCAGATCTAAGCATCTCATGGGCCGGATCCAGCCCCCGGGCCTTGTGTTTGACACTGGTGAAATATATGATCTCACTTTTATTTAAACCAATACAGGTATAGTCCCCATTTAGTGATGTTCAAAGTTACAACGGCACTGTGAAAAAATGACTTATGACTGTTTCTCACACAAACAGGCTGTTGTGGCATCCCCACAATCGCGTGTATCGAAATTCAGAAGCGTGATCCCATTTTGTGACCTTCTGACAAGCAATGCCAACCGGGAAGCCGGGAGTCACTTAACGACCATGAGACTATCTTAACAACTGCAGGGATTCCCATAACAACTCTGGCAAGGAAAATCTTAAAATGGGGCAAAATTTCCGTGACAAACATCTCACTTAGCAACAGAGGTTTTGGGCTCAGTTGTGGCCGTTTTAAGTCGAGGAATTACCTGTACTGACTTCTCGGGATCTTGCAGCCCTGTTGACCTAACCAAAGCTGCTGCCTCCATCCAGCTTTGTTTTTCTAGAACTACCAAATCCATCCATGTTAGGATGAAGAGAAGCCTCGGATTGGCTTAATAATCTGGATCTAATTGGGACCAGCAGCTGCCAGGAGAAAACTGTGTTTCAAGACAACTCCAGATTTTGCAAAATAATATTCAAGCGCTCATGTGCCTTTTCAGAAATGCATCATTCACGGAAAGAGGTGTCTGGAATTTATATATATATAAAATATGTACATTTGTGTGTTTGTGGGTGGGTGTGTTCTAGCATAACTCTAGAATGCCTTGAGCAATTTCAACCAAACTCTCTGGAAACAAATACTGTGTGGGTAAGACACCACTTGGGGTTGCCTTAAAATGGCTTCTGCTGTACAGCGCTGTGGAGTTGCCATGGTAATGGTTTCACAGTACTCCACAAGGGGGCTCCCTCTGGTAAGGGGGAAAATTAGAAATTGCAGCAATGTTCATGGAAGGAGGGTTGGGATAAATACATACCTGGGCATCAGCTAGTAAGTTCTAAAGTTGAGATGTCAGATTGCATTATTAAATGTGTTTTTCTTTCCAAGAGCTACCCATTGGCTCTTTAAATACCTGTTGATTTACTTTTACTTATACATTTCCTAAGTGGGGAACATTTTTTGGAGGGAATTCTACTTCCTTTATTAATGAATTTAATTTTCTTTCAAAGCAAGGAACATGGCTTTGCCTCAAAAGAAAATGCTTTCTAATGCATGATTAGAAGGAGTTCGATCTTGACCGGCCTCAAGGTTGACTCAGCCTTCCGTCCTTCCGAGGTCGGTAAAATGAGGATCAAGATTGTTGGGGGCGATACGCTGACTCAGTAAACTGCTTAGAGAGGACTATAAAGCAGGGGTGAAATCCACTTAACTTTGCTACGGGTTCGGCTCACTTCGCTCACAGGCACCACCTTTGTGCATGTGCAGGACCTTCCGCGCATGTGCAGAGCGACAAAATGATGTTCAGGTGGGTGGGCAGAGCCTGCTACCAAATGCGCCTGCAAAGGTAAGCGAACAGCGAGTGGGAGAATCTGCTGTGCTACGTGATTTAGATGAACTAGAAAACAGGAAATCCTGCTTTCTAGCTAATATAAATCACACGTCATAGCTGATCGTTGGAAAAACCGGTTCGCCTGAACTGGTAGCATTTTTTTTACTGCTGGTTCGGGAGAACCGCTGGCATCTTTACTCCCGGTTCGGCTGAACTGGTCCAAACCAGTAGCATTTCACTATTGCTATAAAGCATCATGAAGCGGTATATAAGTCTAAGTGCTATAGCTATTGACTCGGCCTTCCATCCTTCTGAGGTCGGTAAAACAAGGACCCAGATTGTTGGGGGCAATAGGCTGACTTTGTAAACTGCTTAGAGAGGGTTGTAAAGCACTGTAAAGTGGTATATAAGTCTAAGGGCTATTACTATTGACTCAGCCTTCCATCCTTCCAAAGTCAATGAAATGAGGACCCAGATTGTTGGGGGCAATAGGCTGACTTTGTAAACCGCTTAGAGAGGGTTGTAAAGCACTGTAAAGTGGTATATAAGTCTAAGGGCTATTACTATTGACTCAGCCTTCCATCCTTCCAAAGTCAATGAAATGAGGACCCAGATTGTTGGGGAGAAATATGCCGACTCTCTAAACCATTTGGAAAGGGCTGTAAAGCACTGTGAAGTGGTATATAAGTACTATTGCTATGATGCAGGCATTTTCAAACACCTGTTGAGATGAATCCCCATTTCATACTTCCGAAAGATGTCCAAAGAGATGCTAGATAGGTTGTGCGAAATGGCCTTTGTTTCGTGAACTTGTGTTTACAATTACGCTGCTTCCTTTAAATTAAACGGCAATAGTTGATTACTATAATCAGAGCTGCCCCACGCATGTGTACACAAAAGCACTTTGCACTCTGTAATTTCTATCTGACCT